TGGTTAGGCTATATGGCTTCTGAGATCCTTTTTAGTTTAGATCTATGTTTCTATATGGGAGATGGCTACTTCGCTGTTATTTTCTGGATTAGCGCTTAGACAAATGAAATGACAATCCTAAATATAATGGGGTGTTTGTGTAAGGAAAAATGGCCTTATTCCTTTTCATGCTGAATCTGTCCTTTATCTTAAAGTATTTCCCATAGATCACTGCTTAAATAAAACTGAAGATATAAACCTTTAGCATGAAAATAGAACAGAAATAAAAGCAAATTCAAAATTATTATGGGTGATTGTTGTGGAGTTAAAAATTAACCATTCTAGGTAAATACAATTGCAGTGACTGTGATATAAACTGACTCCTATATCAAGTCTAAACTTTAGTCATTCACAATTTCTTTTGCATATATGAATAAAAGAAGTGACTAAATAATTGGGCTGTTTTATTTTAGGAGGGGCTGGTAATGTTTTCTTTAAGGGTCATTTCTGAAGTACAGTTTGCTTAATGACAGATAATATCTGAGTATACCAGAGAATTTAATGCCCCCTGTTAACTCATAGTGATAGTTTCTGGATAATATTATGAGACTTTATTCCTTACTAAGTGGGTGACATACAAATAACTTTGAAGATTATTGTCAAGGATATGTATTAAGAATGATACTCACTAACAATGGCTGCTAAAAGATAACTTCTTTTTAGGAAATCTTTAGGCATAGTTGCTAACTGGCAAGAATACAGAGAAATTTATATTAGCAGTGGTTGCCTAGCCAAGTCTGACTTAATGGGTTCAAAATCTAATTTCAGATGTCTACCTTTTAAAATTTTTATTTGAAACTAAAGAGTTTATGGCTTTTCCTGTGGAAAATAATCTTCTTGAAAGATTTAAATTTCAATATGAACAATGTACTTACAGGTCTCACAAATTAAGGCAACCCTAGTGAGAGCTTCTTTTGGAATACCTCAAATTATGGATTATTATTTTGGGCCTTTTCTTCACCAAGACAGAAACCACTGTGGTAACTAATTTTTATGATTTCTGAATTGGCTCTTTCAACAGCGAATTATTTTTTTAAAAGATGACTCTTGGAGAGTGAGAAGATTAATGGATGGAAATCCCATGAGCTTCTGGACTTAATATTGTAATAAGGGAAAGAAAAATGTGCTACGTTTCATATAACCATTGGCTGAGAAAATGTAACAATCTTATCACCTATGGTAGAGGAATGATCTTAAATCTAGAGTCAATAAATCATGGTAGGTAAAATTTCGTATAAGAACCATCTTAACTTTTTTCTCAGTGGTGCTGTTTCTTTCTGTTTCTTATTCTGTCTACATAAAATAAGCTTTGTACTTAGGAATCCAAACAGTTTGGAACTGAAGAAAAATTAACAGAAAAATAACCACATAACATTATTTTTCTACGTTCTCAACATGTGTGGAACACATTCATTCAAAAATCAATTTTTAAGTTGTCATTAAACAAAAAAGATTGAATATAATTATAATGCCTTCATAATAAGGAGCTTAGATGACAGCTCACAAAACACAGGTGTAAATACAATTCAAGCAGCAATTGTAATGCAGGGGACCCATGAAAGAAAGAACTCCTTCCTTGTTAGAGATAAAATTCCCTTACAAAAGGATTTAAGAATGTTTTCTGAAATTTTCCTTGGGGGCCCATGGAAAAAATCTTTCATAGACCTTCCTTTAAGAGATTATATTTGGTTTCATATTAAAAATGTGAATTTAAGGCACAAACGCCATTATGATATTTCTCCTTCAATATTTAAATTAGTTGTCCTTCACAATACCCATGTAAAAGCAATCCATTTTCCAAACAAGGACCCTGAAGTACCAGATGATAACTTGCTTAAGAATCACCAGGCAAAGGGGCAGCTAGGTGGTGCAGTGGATAGAGCACTGGCCCTGGACTCAGGAGGACCTGAGTTCAAATGCGGCCTCAGACACATAATACTTAATAGCTGTGTGACACCTGGGCAAGTCACTTAACCCCCATTGCCCAACTAAAAAAAAAAAAAAAGAATCACCAGGTAAATCAATAACAGAGCCTGGTGTTGATGACCATTAATAAATGCTTGTTGATTGACTGATTAAACTCTGTTACATGTTAGAGTATATTTAAATTGACAGTTGCATCTAATGAAACCACAGATGACATTGTTTCAGAAGTCCAGTACCAAGAGTATCACATGAAATAGAAAAACTAACTAGTACTCAAATAATTTTGTGAATAAGATGCCAAGAATCTCATGTACCTAAAAAATGTAGGATGTGGCCTGGTATATATAATAATTATAGTTTCTTAGGTATAATTCAGTGGATTTTTATGGTTTTTCTCTGTAAACTCTGTATACTGTATTTTCTGCTGTTTAAAAGTGAAAGGGTATATTACAATGCATTATGTTCATTCTTATTCAATATCAGGTGAGGAAGAGCTCATGTACAGTATATTTTATATTCTATACACAAAACAAGTTCTCTAATGAAGGTCAGGAGGGTTAAAATTGAGGACTGGTCAAACATATGTGGAAAATTCTATAATGGTTTTTCTTTTATCTCTATTTAACAGTATCCTAAAACCACTATACAAAGTACACAATGCACATATATTATATATGTGTGTATATGTGTGTGTATATATGTATATATATATTATTTTATGTTTCTAACTTAAAATTATGAACTGAGATGAAAATTTTTTTAATTGTTAAATGCCTGTATACCAAAATAATAAAAGCTAAATCAGACATATGAAGATATTATTATAATCAATGGATAAGAATGATTTTGGAAAATTGTCTCATAGGAGCTCTTACATGTGCATATACATACACATATATGTACATATACATTCTTTTGAATGTCTGAATTACAAAAAAAGAAAAAAAATTATAGAATAAGAGAAGAAACATAATAGTATCTTGCCTTCTGGGAACTTTATTGGTTATTTGAGTCATTAAGACTTCTTTAATCTTTCCACATTTCCTCTAATTCCACCAGCATTTCAATTATCTTTCCAATAGGAGCAACAGACCTATATTCCTTACTGGGTAGCATCTATGTTACATGTTTATTTGTAGAAAAACTTTAAGTTTTAGTTTTTATGCATAAAACGTTTTGTTTCATAAAGACATTGTTATCATTTATACCTGTATAGAAGCTATTTTAATTATACCACATTTTGCTTAAAAGTTTTTAAAACTTCTTATGGAGCATTTTAGTATCCGTGAAAACTTGTGTTCAACATTGTAAAGTGAACCTGACCTCATGTTTTAATTACTTCCCAAATTCAGTTTGCACAGTTGGAATGTAATCCCAGTGGGCTATGGATACTTTTGTTTTGAAACAGAGTTGTAAATAACATTTGTGTGTGTGGGCCTGGGACAAGTGGCTCCCCTGAGGTTTATCTGTAGGGAAGAATAAGTTCCCCCTAGAACACTATCATGAGGTTTCTACCTCCTTGTATGACTAGGAGGGTGTGTGTGTGTGGGAAGGGGCAAGAAGGGGTTGGTTGCTGAGGGAATGAACTATGCCTGAGGTGACTAATTTCCTGTTTTGGGACAAAGCCCTAGTTACTCTATGCTAGTTATGGTTCTATTTTGAAATAATTTAATTGATATGAGATGAGGATTTTCATTAAATTACATTTTTAAAGATGTATGTTTTCATTCAGTTTGAAATGCATTAGATTATCATCCAAATAAATATTTGTTGATTGTTGACTGATCTGAATAGCACAAACACATTTAACACCATACCTAAAGATGTACCTACTACTTTTATTCACGATTGATCCTTCTTATTAAAATTCTGAGATCCCAATTTTCTAAAGGCATCAGTTAATTTCAACTAATTTTAGAACAAACTAAAAACAAAGCTGTAAAACATTTTTTATATATGAAAAAAACACTGCTAAGAAATTGTACTGTGGGACATAAAAACAGCTAAAAATGCCCACACACATTTCTGATCTATTCTAGTCAAATCCAGAATTGGCATTCATAATGCTGACAAAAATACTGGAGTTGAGAAAGACAGTTGAACAGATCCCTGTGGGTTAATTCAATTTGCTGACAGAAAAAAAGTCATAGTATGAAAAATGGACTGTCAGACTCTTGCAATCATTTTAGCGATCCAACTAATCTATAACCATCATAATCAATTAAATAAGAAAGAATGTTACTTTTAGCCATTTGCTACCAGTCTGTTTAACATGTCCATATCAGCTACATCCAATAAAGAGCTTAAGGCTGATGCAGATCTTTAAAGCACACACTGATGCTAGGGAAGAAACCTTTAGGAGGAAGCAGTCATGGTCATTATTATGCTAGGTAGTCTATCCACCACATTTGCTAAAATATGAAATAGGCATATTAACAGAGTTAATATATTTTCTTATGACTACAGGATTGATTGAAATACAAATACTGAATAATAACTATCCCACCCCAAAGGTTGGCATTAAAACTTTCTTTCTAGTCAATTTAGACTTGTTTCCAAATACCAGGCAGCAACATTCCAAGTTGAATATGTTTGAAAGAAACTGGAATGATACTAAAGCAGGGAGCTACCCCAGCCTAGACTAGAAATGTGAATAGACTTGTTTTGTGAATGTACATATAGTCCTGTTATCCATTGGCTAAGAATATCTTCACCCTCCAGATGAAGAAAGAATTTCACATCTGCATTAGTAACAGTATATTATATCAGGTGATGTTCATAAATTATGTCTAAAAGCTAGGAACCACAGAAGTGATGTTCCTAGTTGTGACACAGAAGTGCAGATTTCCCACGATGTTTCTGTTTTCCTATTACTTTTTCAAAATTATAATTTGTGGAATAAGGTATGGGATTCAGCTTTCATTTCTCATAGTATAATTGTACATGTAAGCCAACCTTGGTCAGTTGAAAGGAAGTATGAGTCATTACACAATTACATGTTGGAGATGTGCCAGATGCAAAGGCACTGTGCTTACTTTTGGTGTTGGACAGGAAGCTGTGGAAAGGCGAGATGTAGCCTGGGCACGAGGAGATTCTGAAGGGGTAGTGCTGAGGGAGGCGGTATCTCTTGGGAGCACCTGAACACCACGGGAAATGATGGAATCTGGAATCTGAGCAAGACAGTCAGATATGATTAATAACTTGAAAGTACCTATGATTAAAACAACTATTAACATAGAAAATCTATGCCCAAACCCAATTTTAGGTCTTTATAATGTATAATTCATTCTACATTCACAGCCTTAGTGTTATCTGTTGGCAGTAATAATACAAATTCAATAATGTGGAATATGGTCTAAAGCCAACCTTGATAGATGAAAAGAAAATCTTTAAGTTCGAAAAAAAAAAACACTTACTAAAACAATATTCACTAGTTTTTCTCAAACTTACCAGTATAACAGAGACTGATGAAAATTTGCAAAATTATTTGAGAACTAGAATAATGTCTTTAAGGTCCTGGGCCTATAATAGGGTCACGAATGATTGCTACTGAGCTTGCTAACTTTCAGCTTCTATATAAGACAGCCCACAAGGTAAAAATTACATTACGCAAACACACATAACAAATTTCTAGTATGAAGAGAAACTAAAAGTATCCTCTGAGTAGAAGTTTGAGGAAATTAGTCATAGATATACAGCTGTAGGCAGCAGCATGGTGAAAATAGCTGAATGAGTACTGGCTTTGGGGAGAGATAAACAAGGTTCAGATCTCAGCTCTGCCTCTTATTATGTGACCTTGAGGAAACTGGTTAAGTTCTCTGAGCCTTGGTTTTCTTACCTGTAAGAAGAGGGGACTGGATGATTTCTATAGTTCTTTCTAACTTGAAATCTATGATCTACAACACTTAATAAACATGGACATTGCTGAAGGTATACAGCATCCACATGTGTAGAAGCAAAATTTGATTTGTCCCTATGAGGCTTCTGCCTTAATCTTGACTGAAACATAAATTTATACCACAACTAATTAAATCCTGAATTAAATCCTGTATTGTGCAACTTAATGCAATAAAGTCACAAAATCTGCTGAGGCAACAATGGGAATAAAGCAGCATACAATGTAATTACAACAAAGTACAGTGTCCTTCAGATATGCGCCAAAAACAGTCACACAGGAGGAAAAGAATCCGTAAAGGAACTGAGAAGAATCATTTAGAATGCAGGAACATAACTAAATGAGTAATATGTTAAAACATGGAGGAGCAGAATTTTCTAAAGAGAAATTGCAAAAAGTCCAATATTTATCAAACAAGTGTGTAGGAATTTATGAGTTGTTTCATGTTACCAAAAAAATCTGGAGAGAGAGTAGTGTTATTTTCAGTATGTCACTGGTTATCATGCCATCTTACATTTATTCACATTCCTTTTAAGTTTTCTGAGCCCACAGAAGAATCACAACTTCAACATTCTTTTCCTAGATCAATGATGAGAATAAGTATCAAGCTTCAACTTTATGTGACTGAAACTTACAAGATGCATTTGTATTCCATAAGGACTAGGAAGCTGTACGTATGGAAATCTCTTTTACAACAATAATTATCCTCTTTCGTGAGAAAGAGAAATCAAGGTCCCAAATTCCATTTGTTAAATTCAACTTGCAACTTATACTGATTATTTCCATATTCTTTATAGGATCATAGATTTATAACTGGAGTAAATCTCAGAGGCATCTAGCCTAATGCCTTCATTTTATAGATGACAAGATGGAGGCCCAGGAATGTTAAGCTGCTTATGGAGAACAATATTACTAATTTGTACTTTTGCTTTTCTAATTTCACTCAAAACAAGGAAAAAGACATTTTTGATTTCCAGTTACAAGCCAGTGGGAAGAAAAAAACTGGGTTGAGAAGTAGGAGACCTAGATCCCCACTCTACCTGAAGCTGAGTAGCTCACTGTATAAATGGGATATCCATATCTATTCTGAGAGTCAGATGGCATAGTGGAAAAAGAGCTGGCTTCAGGATCAGGAAAACCTGGGTTCCTCTGCCATATCCTGGCTTTGTAACCCAGGTCAAATTGATAAATATCTTAGTGCTTCACAAAATCTTTTCAATCTCTACGTTTCAGAGAAGGCACCAACCTGCATTGGTAGAGGGAGTTTCTTCACCAGGAATTTCTTATACTTATGGAATTATAGTGCTAGTCACTATCTCCTAATATTTATTGTATCTACCTCACAGAGATGTTATGACACTAAAACAAAAGAGTTGAAAATGCTTTAAAAAAATGAGAGCATTGTTCAAAGGTTAGCTATTATTATTAATTCTCCAGATACTATTTAGAATACACTTTTTGTTTATAAGAATAATACATATGGAATCATGTTAGAGCGTAATTCATTACTGACATAAATTCTTGTATGAGGACCCTACCACAATGTACTGTTTCAAAGGACAGGCAACTCAGGCCTATCAGGGGCCCATAGCCAAAAGAGTCACAGGGAATGGTCAGTGTTCCAGTGAGTCTTTAGTATACGGAAATACTTTTAGAAGATTTTGGTTACAGTCTGGGCTGAGAATTAAACACAAGAAGGAAAATGTGCTGGTTTGCCTTGGAAAATTAAAAACCTCAAAACATCTGCTGGAGTTCTCTCTGGGACAAAGTAAAGAAGCCAATATATTCTTGCTGTGCTTTATCAATAATTTATTAATAACTTTATCCTTCAAAGAGAGGAGGAATTAATATAGGAAATGTCTATCCTGGACCTGATATTGACCAGGAAAAACTATATGGTGGAGTTGAAATTAGAGTAAGTTGTGGGGTAGGAGGGAAAACAATCATTATTTTGTAGAGTTTGTGAAGTAGGAGAGTAAATATAGCCCTGGTCAGACATGTACTGTAGATTTTGAGAGAACAGATTCCAAAAGATTTAGCCAAAGGAAATATAATCATGGAGATCTGGGCTGTAGGCAATACATTTGTGAGAGCACTGAGGGAGTGATTTATACAGGGGAAGATAACAAAAGCATGGAAAAAATATTGGATCTTTGCTCTTTATTATCCATAAAAAAAGCATTAATTTGGTAGACCACCATGTCTCCTTAACGGCTCTAAATATATCTTCCATGCATACATCACAATTAGTCAATATTCTATGAAAGATAAAACAATAAAGACAAATTTGTTTGATGATCTTCTGATCTTAACATAAATAAAAAAATAGTGACATGTATGCTCGCCAAAGAGTTCAAAACAGTCATGAAAGAGATCCAGCCCAGAATCATAGTTGTAGAGAAATTTCCTGTAGATTGTGAGATCCTCCACATGTTTTATTTGTGGATGACACTATGCTTTATTGCGTCAAGTCCTGGAACGCTGTAGAGCCTCCTGATTGAGATCCATAATCATTCTAACAACAACAACAAAAATTTGGTCTGAATATTCACAGTAAGAAAAACCAAGTAGATAAAGAATTCCTGTTATTCAGGTTATAACAAGAAGTTAGATGGAAAACCTATAAAGCTCATCCATCCATATATACATATATATCATATGTATATAAATATACACACATATATTACATATATATATAGACACAACAGTCTTAGACACTGCAAATGGACACTGATTTGGGCTCAGAATTAAACACAAGAAGGAAAATGTGCTGGTTTGCCTTGGAAAATTAAAAACCTCCTTTTATATCCCCAAACTTTTCCCAAAACACATGCCCAACTTTTAAACAATAATATTCTATAGGTGTTTTGATGTAGTTTTAAGTTTTGGAACGCTGATATTAAAATAATTAAAAATTAATTTCATTTAAAGCCCAATGGAAAGGAATATGGTTGTCATGAGCAAGCTAAATTGCATAACATATGAGAAAATGAGAAAGAACTGGAGGAAAGGATGTCATCAAAAAATGTATAAACAAAAAACTTGATTGGCTAGTCATGTGGTGAGAATGAAATAAATAATTGATGGACAGCCTAAATGCTCCATTGATATTTTTGCAATGTCAGGACAAATGAAGAAGGCTCCCACATGTTTTCCTGTGGGGAACTTATGAGAGCACATGGAAAAGTTGCACAGGATAGGCAGGCACAGAAGGATGGAGACTGGGTCTATTACAAATTTTTGTTATCTAATTTCAAGTAAGCCCTGATCACAGCAAGGCAACCCTTTTAGTTTTAGCCCATACCACTGTTTCCCCATCCTCTCAGCTTCATACTCTACTGAGAATGTAAAAATTATTTGTTGGGAGCTCCCTCTTTTCTTCTTTACATCTCAAAATTTAGTCAACATAATGACTAAACATGATTCTAGAGGACTAATGATAAAGAACTCTACCTAGCTTCTAACAATAAAACAATGGACTAATAATGCAGAATGAGACACATTTTTGGACATGGCCAATAGAGTAATTTGTTTTGTATGACTACACATATCTGTCATGAAGGTTTTGTTTTTCTTTTCCTTTTTTTCCAGTGGAGGAGGTAGAAGAGAAAGAAAATAAATGCTTATTTATTTAAAAAAATTTTAATTTAAAAAAGCACCGACACATCATTTCTTTCTCATCTTGTTTACTCCTGTCTGATGACGACATGCTCTTTTTCTTCATCAAAGTCAACTCTTTACATGTATACTTCATTCTATCCCTTTCTGCTTCTATAGTAGACTGCCCACACAATCAGCCCCCCCCCCCCAAAAAACTTCAAAAATCTTTATCTTCTGGTCCATTCCCTACTGCCTGCAAACATGCTCATGTGTCTCACATCCTTAAAAAAAGAAAAACAAGAACATCTCAAGCTCTCACAAGACCCTATCATCTCCTCAAGCTATTTTTTTAAGTATATCTTCTCCCTTTCAAAACTATATTCCTAGAAAAAGCAACCTATAACTACTGTGGTCAATTCCTCTCTTTTCACTCACTTTTCATCCTTTTTCTAACTGCTCTACAATCTCATCACTTAACTGAAACTCCTCTCTCAAAATGTACTGATGATCTCTTAGTTGTCAAATTTAATGGTCTGTTCTTGATCTCGATCCTTCTTGACTGCTCTGCAGCATTTCAAACTGTGAACCATCTCTTTTTGGACATACTTTCCTATCTGGGTACTCTTACCTATCTTACTGCCCCTGCTCAAGTTCTGTTCTTGGCTCATGATCTGT